ACGGAAAGGAAGCTCGAGGTCGAGTCGGAATCGAGCGTAGAGTCGAGTCAGGAGTTGCGACTGACGAATGCACCGCCAAAAGGCTGAGAATGTCTTGGTTAAAGAGCGGTAAAAAGAGTAGAGCTTTGGAGAATAAACTGCAAGCTGAAGTATAATCGCTGCGCGAGGCGACGGCCTGTGGCTAAGGAACGCCAAAGAGGGCCAGGACAAGGCATCCAGCCTGGCAAAGCGGGTGTCGGGGCGCGGGCGACATTGGCCGGCGAGCTGCAGGATTAAGGGGGCAGGGACATGCGAAGGAGATGAGGAGGCAGGGACCGAGCGAGAGGATGAGGGAGGGAGAAAGTCGAGAGTACAAAAAAGCGACGTTAGAGAGAAGGATCTCTATTTATGCTGCGGGCGCAAGCGGCCGTGCGAGCATGCGAGTTTGACGCGGCGCTATACCCGATCGGGAGGGCCGCTAACCCGGCGGGTGCGACAGCGAGTTCCGCATTACAAGAGAACCCCAACTGATCTAAAAATTGGATAACTGTTACCGATTGGACAAGTTCATAGGAACTACCTAGGTTGAAGTCTGCCGTATTGCCCAAGATACAGCTGAACTTGAAGAGAGCGGGTAAGATACTGTCAGTTTGCCGGCGCCTTGGATCATGGTGGCAACAATGTGATGATGACAGAAGTGGTACTGTGGTGATGGTTGGGACTCTTGCTCTTGATTTTCACGAAGTGGTCGGTTACCGGGCTATCAGACTTGACCAACTTGAACCCTACCTCAACCGCCCTCCTGCTTCTATAGCCTCTCCATCACCTCCACCGCCGCCTTAATCACCTCGTCAGATCCGAAATTCTCCTGCACAGCCTTGAGCCCATCCTTCCACACCTGCCACCGGTCCTCATTGAAGCCCCTCCACTCACGCTCCCGATACTTCCCCCGGGACACACCGAGATTGTGGGCAAGCGTCTCTCCATGAGCACTCTTTTTCCGCAGCTGTTCGCCGGCAAAACAAATCCACATCGCAGCAATCCTGACAGCCGTCCTGGACAGCTCGGTCGGCGCGCCGTCCTCCTCCTCAAAGGCGGCGCGCAGCATCCAGAGGCCGTAGAGTGACAAGTCCAATCCGGGCGAGCTCTGCGCGCTGAGCCGCGCCATAAACGCCGCCTCGTTCTCCCACTCTGCGCGCTGGCTCTTCGTGGCCTTGGGGTCGTGGACATCTGCCGTCAATCAGCACCTCGCTCACTCACCCCGGCCAGGCAAGCATAGCGTGGGGACCATCCGTGTGTCATACCGTAGTTTAGGGACTCCCTGGCGACGATGCCAAAATACGGCAGATCTTTCCACACCTGGCCTTGACTGGAATTCAATGCCTTCCCCTCTGCGTCGGTAGCCGTTGTACTTTCCAATCGAACGACGAACTCCACCAACGGGCCCTGGTTGTCAGGCGGGGTGCGCCCTGCGGCGGCGAAGAGAGCGTTCATGGCCTCCCAGACGTAGTCGCCTACCGAGTTTTCATCAGGTCCTGCTGCTCGGGCTTGGGAATTGAACACCTCCACGGCTGCGTTGATAGCGTCGAGGGGCGCTGTTGAGGACCCTGTGAGGGTGCTGAGTAGTTCCGCGAGGGTGGCCATATTTCCTCCAATGAGTCTGAATGGATAATCAAGGCTGGCGTGCAGTGCCACTTTTCAGGGGGAATGTCGCCAGTGTTTTGAGTACGAAGGTGGCCAAGGGAAGGAATCACTGCAGTAGACGGGGTTGATTTACCTAGGCACTAATTGACTGGGTTCCGACGGCTGACGTCAGGTGGGATTGTTATAACCTTCCACATTCGATTACCAACCCTGTTCCCTCAGCTCTCTGAGTTGGCAGTTTGCTTTCTTCTGTTCACAACCTTGCCGAAACAGAATCCATGATTTCTGGCCTTTTATTCCCCGCACGTGGAGGGTTCACCGAAATCATGTGGTTCGGTTTCACTGTTTGCAAGCTGTTTCCAGTTGCCCAAGCCAGTGAGTGGGTCCGCTCTTGGCACGAACCTCAATTCAATTTGTTGACTTTTCTTCGATCTGCATCTCATCCAGATTACAATCGCTTTGTTGACCACAAAGCGTGTTTCGAAGTTACACAACTCCATCCATCTACTATGGACAGATTGATTTTTACGCTTACTTTGGCGCTGTGCGCCGTGTCCGCCAACGCCGACTTGCTGCTCCATCGTCAGGGCACCGCCTCCCTTTCCAACGTGACATGTGGGCGGGCCAGCTACACAAAACACCAAGTCGACGCCGCCGTCGCCGAGGGCTGCCGCCTCCATGCCGCCGGCGAGCAGCTGGGGTCTAGCAAGTACCCGCATCGCTTCAACAACTACGAGGGACTTGTCTTTGCCGTCTCCGGGCCCTACCAGGAGTTTCCCATCCTGAATAGCGGCAGCGTCTATTCAGGCAGTAAGTCAATCCTCCCTTGATTACCCTGCTGCCTGCTGGAAGTAATGATTATGAACCTGGCTAACCCTTCCGCAGATGCCCCGGGCCCAGACCGCGTCTTGTTCAACCCGAGCTACCAAGGCAGTTGCGTCTATGTCGGCGCCATGACCCACACCGGTGCCTCGGGCAACGGTTTTGTCTCCTGCTTGGAGACATCGGCGGGTGGGTCGACCGCCAGTATCATCACTTCCCTGCCCACTGCGACGTTGTCCCGTCCATCTACGCCCACGTCAACCCGGTCGGGCGCATCGTCGACTTCAACCGCGGGTTCGGATAGGAACGGTGCAGCGCCGGCGCGGAGTAGCGGAGGACAGGGCGCGGTCGTCGGGGCCATTGTTGGGTTGTTATTGTTCTAGATACACACTGTACGTACTAATAGCCAATAATCACAAGTCTAATTCACTTCACCAACTGATGTGTCTATTCTCTCCAGCTGTACCTACCTTCTCGCTTCAGGGCGAGCCAATTGACGTTCTGCTTCCGCTTGTCTTCGTTCTTCACCTCATCCACACGGGCCGCGTGTCGCGCCATCCTCCCCACGGAGTCCAATCTCCATACACCTCGTCATCCTCAACCCTCAGTTGCTCCCGCACCTTATTCCAATGGGCCTCGACTTCGGCCGGGTCACGCCGCGCTAGACATGTCATTGCCTGGTCCTCACGGACCGTGGCGTGGAGCATGTCCAGCAGAACGTCCAGCTCCTGGGTGCATCCACGGCCACGCCTTGTCTTGCGCACTCGCTTGGCTTTTCTGTTCACGGCCTCTTGGACTAGGTTGGCGCGAGCTTCTTTTGTCTCCGTTTTAGCGTACGCGGCTTGGTTTGGCTGTTTCTCCCTCACCATTTGGGGTGTTGGTTGGTTTTCTCTCGCTGCTGGTTCTTGCGGTGCTTGCCCAGGCTTGACTTCAAGTTGAAAGCCCCCATCCACCGTCTCTTGTCCTCTTGCAGGCGAGATGACTGGCCTGCCGTCCGTCTGGACTTCTGCGTGGGCTGCTTCTTGGACTGCTGCCGGGAGGTTTAGCGTGGACTGGGGCTGAGGCCTAACTTCGCATATTCTATTTATCATGTCTGGGATGACCAGTTTCAACTTCAGCCTGGATTGGATCTTCTTTCGCAGGTGTGCAGCCGCGCCTGCTGTTGACGTACATGGAACCCCGGTTTCTTTAGCCGTTGGTAGCACTTGCTGGGACTCCGATGGGTCTCCCCTGGCGGCTGCTTCTTGATCAGCAGCAGACGTGCCCGACAAAGGCTTGGCCTGGGGGTTACTGTGAACAATCTCTTCTACTGCTGAAGACGACGAACTCGGTGTGCTTTCTGCTGTGGCTCCCGCTTCAGATCTTTCTTGAGAGACTGTTGCCGATGACTCTATCAACATGAAGGCCGGCTTGGCATTGCTCCCCCTTGATTCCTTCGGTAGGTCTGGCACGACTGATTTCCGCCTTGGGCTTGTTTGAACCACCCTGTCTACTGGTGTAGACAATCCTGCTGAGAACATGGAGAGGCATCCCTGCTCGGCTTCTCTGGCTTCTCCGGGAGTATATTGAGGAGGTTTTGGTTCATTCCTCCTCAACACTGCCTCCTGAATTGCCGGAGGAGTTTTTGTTGAGCATTCAGCCGTTTCATCCAAGTTAGTCACTGTCTCCGTTGCAACGGATTCCAAGCTTGGGATTGCTAACACCATGCTGTCCACAGGCGTGTGCAGCATAGTCGGCGGCTGCCTCGATGTGGCCACCATTAGGGCTTTGCGTTCCACGGCCTCCCTTACCATTGCTGGCCGGACTGGCTGGGGTCTTGCCACTGTTTTTCTCTCTGCTGTTTCCTTGGTTCTGGCTGGCACCGGCGGCTTCGCGTTGGATTTTGTTTCAACTTTTTCCGCTGCCGTTTTTCGCACAGCGGAAGACGGGCCTGGTTTGGCCTTGGGTTCCGGTGCAAGCTTCCTCCCGATTGCTCCTTCGGATTCTGTCATCGTGGCCCTTGAGCGTGTTGATGTGGACATTCTTGCAGCCCTTTGGACCGTCATTGGTGGGCCCGATTGGGCTTGTCGTACAGGTACTGTCGGCTGCGCCCTTGTTGTGGTTTTCAGTCTCGGTACAGCTTCTACCTCCATTGTCTCTTTGACTGTCGCAGGCAAGTTTGGTCCAGCTCTGACTTTTGGCTGGGTCGGCTGTGCTGAGTTCGTTGATGATGTTGGCCTGGCTGGCCTGAAGCCTGAGGGCTTTGGTGCCATTATTTGTGACAGCCGTCTGGGTAGTTCCGGCTGCTTGGCCGATTGCGAGCTTGCCGCCCTTGTCCTTTGCTGGACTGACATTTGTGCTGCCCATTTCGACGGCACTGGTCCTCTCACTGCCCTTGCGCTTGTCGGCCGGGATTTTTGCTGGACAGACTCTTGCGCCGACTTTCGAGGGGCCTCTGGCTCTCTGGGCGGCGATGAGACCCTAGGCTTAGAGTTCTGCTGAGCTTGCGCTGATTTCTTCACGGCTTTGTCTGTTTCGGTGAACCTGGGTCAGTGGAGGTGGAAGTTGATGCCCTCGAAGGGGCTGTTCTCTTGCCTGAGAGTTCCTGCTTGTCCCCAGCTTGAGTCTCCATCTTGTTGCGAGCTAAGCCGTGCATGCCTCTCTCACTGTTTCGTGTGTTGGGTCACTGTCGCAGTTTTATCTATAGCGGAAAGATACTTCCTTTGTTTTGTTCAAGCAGTTCAGGGGCTGTGACAAGGAGAGCCCAGACGTAATCTGTTGTGTCTAGATGAACAAAGGTTACTTTCAAGCTGTTTCGGGACATACCCACTGTCTGGTTCGTTGTGACCTGCTGTGCTTAAAAGGGGTCCTGTGAGCCAGCCTATATCCTTTGTCTTGAACATGGCCTTTGTCCACACCAGCCTGTTTCTTCGGGATAATCCTTCCAGGTAGCCATTCGAATATCAATATTAATACTGGAAAATGGCACATCTTGAATCGGACGGAGTATCCTCGAACATTTTCCTCATACCTACCTTCAACATTTTGACAACATCACCTTCGACTCAACAGCATAGAGAACCTACAGTGGTGCCTTCCAGCCAAGATGGAGACTGCTTCGCACAACTACCGCAAGCTGGCCACGCTGGCTGTCAACGTTGTCCGCTGGGACATCAACCAGCAGTGGCGCAAAGCCATGAGGTACTTCGTCGACGAACGCATTCGCGACGACGCCAACGAGGATCCCGGGATTGGCCCCGCCGATTTCGAGTGGCGCGAGTTTGAAGTCTTCATCGCGCACCGTCTGAAATACAACTGCCTAGAGCATGCTGTCGTGTTTGCTCAGTACGGTGTCAGGGACGGACGGGCCAGGGAGGTATTTGACGCGGACACTTGGAGAAGCACTCTCAACGATATCACTGGGAACCGCCCAGTGGTGCTCGAGGGCGCCGAACTCTTCTTCCTGGTGATGCCTCGACACAGCTCTCATGGGCCAAAGGCCGACATGGGTGCCTGGTTCGATGTGCCGTACCGGATCAAAGTCCCAACCAACATTGCGGAAATGTCGGACGTTGAACTGCCTCAGATAGTTGAGCATTTTGTCGGAGACATTGAAGAGAGCGGTGTTGAGACTGGCGGGCGGCGGCCGTCCAGTGACAGCGGTTTCCTCCAAGTCCCTAAGTTGAGACGTCAAGGGGCAGTCCGCAGGGGTCGATCTCCGGCCCGCAGGCCCTCATCGGAAGTCCGCTCGGTCATGGTCTCGCTTCCGCCTATTGAGGTTCAAGTTGAGCAGTATCTGGAATCCGACTACGATGGCTGTGAAGTCGAGGTCGAGTTCGAGCTGTCTGACAGCGACAGCAGCGATGACGACTCGGAAGGCTGCGTTTACGAGGAGGCAAATACGGCCACCTACCGGCCCGTCCATGCCGACGAGATCAGTCAGGTCGAGAGGAACCCGTTCCTGTTTCCTCCTGACTCGGATTCAGATTACAGCGAAGATGAGTTCGTTACTGACACGGCGGGCACCACCCCCTCATCAAAGACGAGCGGGAGCCCCGGGTCTGCCCAGCGAGCCTCCAAATCCGTTGTCAGCGGCCGGCCAGTCCCTTCAAGTGTTGCGGCATGTTCTCCCAGCAAGCCATCCACTCGAGGAGGGACAGTCAGGGACCGGGCCTCTACACAGGGCCGAACTACCCCAATGTCCTCTCTGCCTGCTACAACCCGCAACACCAAGACCACCCGTTTCTCACTCCTATCCAAGATCTCTTCCACCGCCACAACGGCAGCCAAGACCCCAACTCTAAGGAGGGAGTCAGCAAGCCTCTCCTCCCCAGCCGTCAACCCCACCTCGGCCTCGACCTACGTCAACCTAATCGACATGCTCAAGTCCGAGTACTACACCTCACAGATCGCCGACGCCGACTACGGCGCTGTCGAAGAGACCAACCCTGTCCTCGACACGTACCTCGGCAGCTACAACACCGGCAACACCGAGGCCGAGTGGCGAGCCTGCCTCGAATTCTTCAACGTCAACGTGGCCGAGTACATGAAGAGGGAGGCGATTGCGGGTGGTGATGGCCAACAGAGGAAGAGGGTGCCGATGAAGAAGCTTCCCGGCACCACGGTCGGCTTGTTCGACTACCAGCTCATGGGGGTGTGCAACCTGCTGCGGTTCGTCCTGGCCGACGTGTCCGGCGGGCTGTTGTGCGACGAGCAGGGGCTGGGCAAGACGCAGGAGATGTACGGGCTGATTGCGTTTGCGGCCGCGCTTCGCAGGTGCAAGGCCGAGGTCAAAGCTGCGTGGCGCAAGGCTGCGAAGTGGAACGACAAGAAGAAGGGCAGCCCGAGCCAGCACAACCGGCCGGGCGCTGTGGCTGCTAGGTCGTGTCCGTTTGATGAGCGGTATGGCTTCAAGTGCTATTGTTGGCATCAGCCCACTCGTGAGCTGGCGGACCGGCTGCCTGATGGGCCAAATGTGTTGGTTGTTCCGGCCAGGAGCTGCGCCTCGATGGTACGGGATGCCAAAACCAAGCTGGATGTGAAGCAGTTCAAGATCCGGGGTTTCCACGAGGGCGGCGACAAGGAGGATAAACTCACCTCAGCCGATGTCTCTGCTCTACGTGCCACCATCACGGCAACGCAGGGCGAGGCTGGGCCGGTGTACCAGTACCAGGCTGCACCGGACAGCGAGTACCTCATTGTCGTGTCGCCCGAGTACATCCCCCGGCTTAACGGCCTGTTTGGCGTTGAGCTCAAGGTTCCGAACGCGGCTGGGAAGGTCAAGAAGAGCGCTCTTGTGCCCGGCATGATCTTGATGGACGAGTTCCACGAGTATGCCATCAGCAAGAACGGCGACGAGAGCCGGGTTGCCGCATGGCTTCAGCATCTGAAAAAGTGTTGCCTCGACTCGCAGCAGCCGACCCCCTTGATCTACTTCGTCTCGGGTACTCCGCTTGGCGACACGCCGGCTAACATCCGTTCGGCCATCTCGTTGCTAGAGAAGGATGCCTGGCAAAACGAAGCTCATCCCCTGAACGGCGCCACCGTTGAGTCCTTGGACGAACTAACCCAGACTTTCGACAGGCTTACTGGCGTCCAGGCCAGCGGGGAGATGGTCCCGGAGTCCGAGATTGTGGACTACCGCCGCCGTCTGGACCGCGTTCTCGAGCACACAATGGTGCGCCGTCTCGGCACCGACCAGTTCCAGGGCCGCAACTTGACCGACCTCGGGCCGCTCAAGGTCAACATCATGGACCACCAGCTCCCGTTCTCGCTCATCGACAGCCTGCAAGCGTTGGCAGACCAGACCCGGGAGCAAGTAGTTGTCGCCGCCACTTCTCGGGGAATTTCGGTCGCCCGCCTGCTCCGCAGCAAAGACGGCGAGGCTCTCCTCCTCAAGCTCCGCCTAGCGTCCATCTTCCCCGGCATCGCCGACCCGTCGTCCGGCGCAGCCTTCACTTTCACCACCACCGAAATCCACGCCCACCTCGCGGCTGCCAAAGGCGACGTCACCAAAACACCCTACTTCGCGCACATTCCAGCCTGGTCCGCATCGAGCCCCAAGCTGGCAACCCTCACCCAAGCCATCCGCACCATGCTAGCCGACAAGTCCCCGATCCCCGGATCGCCCACCACCTCCAAGAAGTACTGCATCTTCACCCCGCTCGAGTCCGAAGCGGTGCTCATCCAAGCCTACCTCCTCCTCAGTCGCGCCCACCCGACGACGAGCAGCGGCAGCAACAACCTCAGAGGCCTCAAGCCCGTCCTCCTGACGAGCAACATGTTGCAGTCAGCGCGGCAGCGCGTGCTAGACCAGTTCCTCACCGAGGGTAACGCGCCGCCGAACGTGCTCGTCGCGCCCATGGCGCTGGCAGGTACGGGGCTCAACCTGCAGCGGGCAAAGTACAGCACAGTGACGGGCCCCGCGTGGACCAAGAGGGAGAACCAGCAGGCGTACTATCGGATCCATCGCGTCGGGCAGCGGCAGGCGACGCAGTTGCAGCTGCTGACGGCGAGGTGGAATCCGGCGGAGCGGGTTGTGCTGGCGGGGTATGAAGGGAAGGAAGTCAAGGGAAAGGAGGGGATGTGGGAGGTTGGGAATTGGTTTTGTGAGGGGGAAGGAGATGAAGGGGATTGGTGGGGAGGCATCAGCGGGGAGGTGAGTGAGTAGTGATCCCTTCCTGGAATGGTGACGAGTTGAAGTAACGGGGAAGAGGATGTGGAGAAGGTGCTGACTAGCAGATTGATAGAAGTTGTCAGGCTAGGTATTTATTATTATTCCTACACCGCTGTGCCCTAGGGCGTGCCGGACCTTCAACAACTTACTAGGCTAGGTATTTAGGTTTCAGGATAGATTCGTAGTGCATGGCCGGTTTGGAAAAAGTCTGAGATTTCGGCCTGTATGTGGAAGAGGGGATTGATTTGTGCCTGTCATATTACTGAGAAAGGTGCATCAGATGAGTTTGCTACGAATCTAAATGGTAGAGATGTACAATGTTGATTCATATAAGAAATTGACATTGGGGCACGAAACGGAGCAGAACCACTTACAGCTGTGAAGTGTACGACGCGATTAGATGTGTCCAGAATGGTGGAAATATTGGAGGTACTATCTAACCTATGTATCTAACCTATCACAATGGTTCGAATCGTGAATCCCAACGACTGCATTGACGACGCGCTGGCTCGGGTGCCTCGGTTGGTATTGGGAACTGTAAAAAAAAATTCAGCCAAAGAAGCAACCATTTATTGCCATCATGTCCTCGTGTGGCTCACCTCCATAGATTCCAAGTCCATCCTGCCCGGTACTACACTCCCACATGATTTAATATTAAACGCGCCATTCTAGGGCACATCTTACCCCCCATAGGCAGGACGACGTTGACATCGGCGCCGTGTTCCAACAAGAACAACACAATGGGTTCAGCCCTATGGCAAATCAAGCTGAAACCCGGCCGCGGCTGCCGCGAACACCGAGCCGTAACGCCCAATGCGTGGGCGGGCGTTGATGTCGGCGCCATGATCAGCGAGAATTTCATACGGTGAGATATTCACACCGTCCCAGGAGGTTGGGGTGATGTGACAGTTCCTAATGCCGACAATGAACGCGCTCCCGAACTTGCCACACTTAAGCGGCAGGTTGACATCGGCACCGAGTTATAAGAGGCACTTGATCGCCGATGGGCTCTCCGATGCCACGGCGGCTGCAAGCGCCGAGCCGTAGATGCCCGACCTTAGGGAAAGGTTGACCTCGCGGCCGCCCTGATCAAGAGCTCCATGGTTGCTGCACGTTGCCCCCAAGACTGCGGCACTGCTGCCGCTAGGGCCGACCCCAACTTGCCTGGAACCTGCATATTCACGCTGGCCCCGCGCTCAATCAGCAACTTGACCTTGCCACATCGCCCTCTTTCGCAGCGGCAGCGAGAGCAGATCCGACGCCACCATACGAAAGGAGGAGGTTTACACGTGCGCCCCCATCAATCAGCGTCCGTACCATTTCCAGGTCCGTTGAGACGGCGGCTTCAGTCAGGGCACAGCCGATATAGCCCCTTCTGACTTGAGCATTCACATCGGCTCCCCATTGAATCAAAAGACTCGTAAGGGCCGTGGACGCTCCCCGCAGAGGCGATCAAGGCCGTGTCGTACCCGGTGCCCCGCGCCTCGGCGTTCACGTCGGCTCCAGAGTTCAAGTAGGATCTTCCCAAAGTGGTCCCACAAGTCGGCAGGCATGGCACATAGTAGGGCTCTGATGTACTCGGGATTCTCGCCACGCTCCATGGCTGCCGAGATCTCGTCAACCACCAGTCTAACCCAGAGGAATACGCCATCCGCTTCGCGCAGAATCTGGGGCCACCAGTTCTGCCGCGAGTTATTCGTAACGCAAGTCGGCGAAATTCGTGACCATGGTCTGCAGTCGATGCGCAGTGTACGTCTCGACGTTCTCCCAGTTGAGGTTAGTTAGGTCGACGGTGGTCCACTTCTTTCGGTAGTTCACGAAGTTGCCAGGCCGTCTAAAGAGGCACACGCTAATAACGGGTGGGATGTTGGCCGTCTGACCTCGAGCTAGTGAGTGTTTCTGTTGGAATATCTACGCCAGAGTGAGGTCCTCGCAGGAGGACCCGGGTGAGGGCAGGTTTATTACAGGGGTAGTAGTCACGTGGTCTAGGACCTCGAGGACCACTACTGCGGCTGCAAGATTCGCACCCCCTTATTCACAAAAAGAATAAGAGCATCCAACTGAACCACCACTTTAGCACGTCCCTCTCAAGAAGAGGGTATTTGCCCTGTGTTTCTAATGTATCGCGATACCTGGTATTTCCTACAGTTTCCAACAAGGCGAACACTTCGGCGGCCGAGAATCCGTCGCCCTCGTCAAGCGCGTCGATGAAGATCAGGACTTGCAAGCTGGATTCCCGCATCACGACCTTGAAACAATTTCATCAACGACTCCCCCGTCCAGTTGAAGATCCGGCCCTGGGAATCATTCGCCTGCGTCATGTCGTGGTCGAATTGGGTGAGGCACCGGTATGCGGTCGGGTTCTGGAATGGAAGACCATCTGGTGCAGGATTGTGCGGCGGAGCATGCCCTTGGGCGTCTTCTCCATGGGCCCGCCTCCGACGCTGAAGAAGCAGCCGCATACCACACGCCCTGTCGTCGTATTGAGCCGGCGGCCGACATCTCGTTTCTGAATATGTGCTTCAAGAGCGTCGACTTGCCACAACCGGCCTTGCCTGTTATCAGTAGCCTTTGGCCCGAAAATTTCCTCCATTCTGAATATTGTGTGGAATTCAGCATCTACTCGCAAGTAGCATGGTACGCGGTGGCAACCGTCTGTTCGCGGGCCTGCATGTCGAGAAAGGAGAGGAGCCGCAGGAATTCTAACATCCCATTAGGCATTAGCTACCTCTAACTCAACTTGTTCGTGTGCCAATCGGTCAATACCCATTCATGCGCTTTCCTCGTGCTCGGTCAGAGTCACAAACTGCGAGGAGGGGCTCGGAGTTCTCGTGATATTCCGGCCCAGATCTTTCAATCAGTAGCAAACGCAGGTACCAGTCAGCCCCGAGTCAAGGAAAAGGTAGACAGCATTGTATCATTAACGCATTTGTTCGCGGTGTCAGCAGATCTGGCTTTGCGGCGATCAGGGGATCGGCACAGCTATTGATCGCCGAAATCGTAACATGCGCGTTGAGGTGATTGCGTGTGTGTGTGTGTGTGTGTGCAGCGATGGCTTTCTACTTCCGCCAATTGTCATGTTGATCTCTCCAATGGCCACGTCTTCGTCAAACCTCCAGTACTTTTGCGGCTTCTCGGCTGCAAAGGATTCCTGCAATTGGGAGTGAACAGCACGCGAGCTGGTAGCCAAGTTGGCGAGGGCCTGGAGACGCGTGAAAGGCTTGGAGTTGATACCGATCGCGCCCTTGAGACCGTTACCGATGCTGACGACGCAAGATGTGTGCTTTTCGGGAACGACCTTCTCCGCCTCCTGGCGTAGGATCTCACAGGCATTGTTGTAGCCGAAGGCGGCGTCGATGAATTCAATCCCGTCGCGGCCGATTCTTATGGGATCAAAGAAAGTGGTCACGGCCGAGGTCGCCCGCGCTACTTCCCATATTAAGAAGTCCCTCCAGGCCGGTTCGACATCGTAAGTCTTGAACATCGTAGGCCTTGCATTGACATGGGCCTTGGTGATTGCGAGCACAATCGTCTTAGCGGCTTCGGGGTCCGCAAACGGGGTGTCGTTCGAGGCGCCCACGCTATCCAATTCGCTCAGGATAGCTTCCGCGAGCTTTGCAGCCGAGTATCGGGGTAGGGTCGGGGGTCAAAAGGGGATGTAGACTTTAGGGATGAAAGCCTGTCCACCGACCCGGTTGGAGGCATCTAGAGGTTCGCTCGCAGACATGCGAAGGCGCCCGGAGAAGGATGTCAATGATCTTAACGATGATCAGCTGAGAACAGCCAGTTCCTCGGGAGCGGAATGAAGTCAGACTCACCCCCCAGTGCTGGTGCCTCCTATCATGTCAAAACAATCACACGGCAGCGCTGGCACCGATAAACCGAGCTTCTTTTGTATCGCTCCTATGAGCATTTCCAGGATTATGAGCGAGGAGTAGCCACGGATGCCTCCGCCATCTATCACCCGTCAGCGGATGAAGTGACAGAGTCACGCACAATGGCAATGTCGGTCCCGAAAATGATCTACCAAGCGAAAGGAATGTTCGGTAATGGGAGTTAACGGACCCGGAAGTCCTGGTAACTATACGGAATATACACTTAAGATATCCATGTTGTTTTTTGTACGCGACTTGCGCGGGGCTCACAACCTGGAAGCATCACGTTGATGCAATCGCAATGATGCCGAACGCAGGCCCAGGAACGACCGAGGCCTCTCCTACAGATTATAAAGGCCGAGGAAGAGGAGGCGCCTTAGCCTACTACAATGCTGCCCACAAGTCAAAGCGCCAAGCCAAGGCTTGGCTCAACGCAAGTCAAAGCAAGTCAAATCGACCCCAAAATTTGGTCAAGGCAAGTCAAGTCGAAGGCAGCTCAACTTGACTGATTTGAGGTCAGAATTTACTACTTTTAAAGCTATTCCCAGTATCTCTAGCACTCCAGGAACGCCAACTTGAGGGTTTTTCTAGTGTTGCGGTTGATGTGGGCTCAAAAAC